GCATTTTTCTCAAATGTTATAAAGTGAACAATAGAAATTTTTGTTCGACAATATTATCTTTTATTAACCATTTTCCCTGGGGGTAAATGCAAGGTACCCTTGTTCAAAATTTAAACTTTCATACAATTTTTCTCAATGTCAAAAAATATCCTGCTTAAGTTTATAAAGGGTCCTTAAAACTATAAATGGGATATACAAACTTGAGTTAAAAATTCAGATATTATTTCACATAAATTTGAAGGGAAAAAAATCTTCCTGTGTTTGTACATTAGTACAAAATAAATTTTCAAGATTTTAGTCATGTTTAAAATAAACATAAAGATATTCATTCTAAATCCTATGCAGGCCCCAGTCTGTTCTCAGTTTATGGTTCTAGGCATGGACTTTGATATATATTTCAGAAATCCTTAATGGTTCTAGGGTATCATAAGTAGAAATTACAATGTAAAAGATTGTTGAATGATCAAAACAGTCAGTGTACTTCACTAGTGACACACAAACTTAAGGGGAGAAGGAAAATGTTCACATATTGTTATACAAATAAATTCCATCCAACAGTTCAGATTGCTAGGTTTGAAGAACAAACAGACGTCTTCCTAAGCATTGCATATTCCTAGAGGAATCAAAAATCAATTCTGTATTGATATCGTAGATGTCAATCCAAAGATACCTATAAAAAGATACAATATGTTCAAAAGAAAAAAAAGACAAGGTAGGGGTATACAGAAAGTTTTAATGAAATTGTACATTTCATATATAAGTAATAATAAAATCGTTTATGTCAAATTCAAAAAGTATTATTTTCTTCTATCAAATTTCCCTTGGCAGTGATATACATTTATGAACTATACACTTGTTTATGCTATTCAGCACACTGTGGATACCATAAGATTACATAAACAAACATGTATTATGCTTATGAATTCATTAGGTAAGTGGAAAGTCTGCTTCTCCTGAAATTAGTGAAGTCAATGAAAGTCAGTCACTCATCTTTAAACCTAACATAACATGTATAAGGTCAACACATGCACATACTAGTAGTCAATCACTGACACACTAAACATTGATTCTACACTATTCCAAAATTGTGCCTTAGCCTCATCAGTGTTGATATACAATTATGGACTATTTACACAAAAAATACCTATGGTGACCGAGACAATTCTTCTGTCATTTGTATCGCCCCTTTTTTTCTACATACAGTGGAATTGTTTGGATGTCAAAAAATCTCATAAATTTTCAATAATGTTTCATGTTGGTAAAAATAATACACACATCACTGACATATTTTTTTTTTTACTGTTTTCTTCATGGACAGTGGGCCTTGTTTTTCTCCTGCTGCTATGTGGGGTTGTAGACGATTACTTAGTCTGTTCTGTAGGTTCTCTCTGTTTTTGTTGTAGTTCTACAACATAGTAAAATTAATCCAAAGATTCCTTAAAATGAAAAATAAAATTCTAAAGATCTGTGAGTATAACACAAATAAATTAAAGTAAAATATAACAATATCTAAAATGTGCTTTCTGATGAAATTAGAAAGAGATTTTAGAAGTATTGATTTACTTCAAATATTACTTCAAATATTGATTTACTTGGTATTTAACTGCATAAAAAACATTGATTTCAAGAATAAGTGGCTTAAGAGATTTTGATGCATTGTGGAAACAGTTACTTTTCTTTTGCAGTTCCCTTTCTCCATAATCATTTGTAAATTACATAACTAACTGGAAAACTAGGGTGTGGTGATGTTCCTTTTGTGTATACATGCATGTAGCTTGTTGACATTTCATTTGGACATTCTGTTATGACACACGGGTGAAGATTCTTTTCTGTTTCCTTGTGTGCTCCATCATTGATCCTGAATGCATGCAATATTTTATTAAAGTATAAATAATGCATTTGACTTGGAATTTTTTAGATGCTTTTAAAATCTTGATCTCTGACTCATAAACAAATTTGTAGTTAACTATCCTCAGCATTTTCACCAAGACTAAATATCAATCGATAAGGTATAGTACAGAAATGACTATTCATCTGTGATTTTACTATGTCAAGTTTTCATGGTATAATATGATATCTTCACTTGAATAAACATACTGGCTTTGTAATTAAGTTTCTTCATAACAGATACTTTTCTTAACATAATATCAGTAAGCTTACAACTCGTATCGATAATTCCAAAGAAGCCTTTCTTGATGACTGTGACCCATCTGGGGGGACTGGACCTTGCTGTATACAGTCAGTATTTCATGGTCCATAAATGCTACAATTAATTTAGATTCATAAAGCTATATACAATCACAAAATGTTTCAAAGATAAAGCATTGTAAAATTACCCACAAAAATTCTTTTTGCAGTATTCTCATTTAATATCGAGAACTATATTCAGTTCACCGAGATTTATAGCTTTGAACGGTCGAGTCATAGTCTGAGCACGTTTGTAAATCACTATTGTACGTGATTCAAAATAATCTAAACATTGTTCTCTTTAATTGCCAATTATATTATCACTAACTTTGACATTAATATACCAGAATAACTTATTTTATAACAGACAGTTGTGTTTCGGTCTTACACACGACATGCCTTTATCAGCTGTTTATGCAACGTTAACACTTGTTTTTCCGTGTTTTGGACCTAGGAAATGAATAAATCTCACCTTGTGTATTCTTTTCGGGTACCTTGTATCATAATTACATCTATTCCATGCATAGGACCTCACAATTTTTCGTTACACAGCGGATATGTTGCATTAAAACGATGTCATCTCGCACCTCCGACATCTGTGTGTTTTGACGCAGGTAATGGCGGACAAAGTTTCCGCTATTCTGATTGGCTGTGCGGAGATGGCAACTGCGTCACCCGTGACGACGTGGAAGCGTGATGATGTAAGCACGACTTTAGTAGCATTGTGACGTCATCGGGATTTTAGCTCATGCTTGCAGTGTTATAATCTTACTCCAAATACTTGCTCAAAACTTTTACAACTATTCTGTTGAAGTTTTAATGTTTTACCTATGAAATTGTAGTATCTGGTAATTCAACCTTCAGAAATTATGTTATACATCAGTATAATAAAACGCTTATCCACTGGTGGTGAGTGGGATAGCTCTTTCATCAAACCTTTGACAGGCACTATTCCCCTCGGACAAGCCCTCAGGGAATAGTTCCTGTCACGGGTTTGATAAAAGAGCTATCCCACTTACCACCAGTGGATAAGTGTATAGTATTCAAATACTAGCTTATACATGTTATCTGTCATATAAAAAAGGGATCCGACAATAAAGATAAAAATGTTGCTATGTCCCACTTTATTGCAGTGCTTAAAATTGCAGATCACAACAACCCTTGGAATAATTATAGAGTAACCCACTCCCACCCCCACCCAACCCCACACACGTACTCTTTCTCTCTTGTATGTATGTATATTGTATTACATTTATACAGGTGTTTACAATGCACTTTCTTTTTGCCCCATGAGGGCCCTTAATTTGTTAAATAAACAAATTGAATCCTACAGCTTTAACTGCTTCTTATTAAAGAAAGTAAATTTTCTCCACGAATAACGTTATGGGACTATAACGTTACGCTCCAACAATGAGAGTGTTAATAATTATGTTCAGTGCGTGTAAGGAGGGACTTATTTTGTCTCGCAATAAAATGTTAATTAGACCGATCTTCGACTTTTACAAAGTATGATTGCTTTGATCAGTTATATATCAAGACTATTGGGGGGGGGGGGGGTAAAATGAATGTTCATAGTATACAGTTATGGAATGGGAACTCGGGAAATAGCAAATTTATGGCTCCCCGAGGGAGGAAACTATTTCCCGAGGCGGCTTCGCCGCCTCGGGAAATAGTTTCCTGCCGAGGGGAACCATAAATTTGCTATTTCCCGAGTTCCCATTCCATAACTGTTTTATTATACCGAAACAATCATAGACGATTTAATTTTTTCACCAGACATTCCGACATTCCAAAAAAAAAACAATGTAGAGGCAAAATCGCAAATACATGCGGTTTAACACATTGTTATAAGTAATGCATCGTGTCCTAAAACAATTAAATTATTTTTAAAAAGTATTTTCACTGACATTTCGAAGAATTATCGTTGCCTTCATTTCGCTAGAATCCAAGTATGATTTTGACATCGCATGTCGAAATGTTTTGACGTCATAGTAACATTGCTAATAACATGACGTCACAGACTCGAGATTTCTTAAACGCTCCGCCCACTGAACACTTTGATTGGTTAAAATTACTAATAAATATTCATGAGGGAGTAGTCCCAGGGAGTAGCTCTGATTTTCCAGGGAGTAGTCCTCAGATGAGGGAAATAGTCTCTTCTCGTGGAAATAGACAGTTTTATGGTATTAATTTTATATAGAGTAATTACAGTAGAGGTATAATAATATAGACTATAGAATAGTATCACAAAAAGCCCCAAAAGAGTTTGTGTATTGTAAACAAGGTTTTAATCGTTTTCCTATAGAATGAATGTCAAAATCATGAACCAGACCCGTAGAACGTGAAAGCGGGAGCCCCCCCCCCCCCTTTTAGTCAGTTAAGGTTGCTACGGGCCTGTGAACGTCTATATTTAGAACACTGGAGGTCCAGCACCCACCACTATTTATCCAATTAAATGAAAACCGTACCCCCCCCCCCGTCCGTATTTACATATCTGCTGATTACATGTATGTACATGTTTTGATACATAACAATATCTGATGGGCATATCATGTGCCCATCATGTGCACTTTATTACAAATCAAAAACTTGAAAATACAATGTATATGAAAAAAGCAAGAAAAAAGGAGGCGGAGAACTCATTCATAAAAAAAAAAAAATCATATTGTACTTATAAATAGTTGAGTTCTATTTATAAGTACGTACAATATGATTTTACTTCTAATGAATAAATTGTGAAAATCAAAATAACTTTGAACAGAAGCTAAAGACTCTACAAATGGACATTAAAAGTTTAATTTATCAAATTCTAGACATTTGTAACCATCAATTGGTGTCTGGAGTCAGTCCTGTTCCAGACAGTGCTTTCTCAGCCTCTTCCTCATACCAAAAAGGAAGCACTGCAAAGGACTATACAGTTGCCAGAGCTCGCCTAAATACAACAGAAACCAAAGATGTAAAAGGTGTTCTACATCTTGGGGCCTGGTCTGCCCAAGATCTCAATGTAGACCAGTGGATTCAGGTTTAACATTTATCTTCAGATTTAGTTAATTTTTCTGTCATCATACCTTACTTATCCATGATTTATTTAAATATATCAGAATATTTTGAATATACTAATTTTAGCATTAAAGGACTTATCGCATGATCTTTCATAAATCGTAATTTTATGAAAAAATATTATCTACAACCTTGTTTATTAAAATACTGAATACAATAAACGTTGTTGAAAGCATATTTTAAGAGATATTGAGAGTTGAAATTCAAATACGGCAATATGCATATTTCAGTCGGATTTCGGCGAAATACAGCTCTGACGTCATATGCGACAATTCAGTGATAGAGAGATGAGAATGTGCACACTATTTACGGAGTTATCAAGGACAAATGCAGCTTAATTACGAAAAATGCTGAACAAATTAATTCCTACCTTGCTTTTTAATTACTATAGAAACATTAACTAGTTCTAAGATATAAGGCTTTTGGGATATTTTCGTTTTTTATTCGAAACATTTAGAATCTGTACATCTCCGATTACGGCAATGTTTCGTGATCGGAAAATTATTTTTCGAGACCGCTATCCTTTACAAAACATAAGTAAATTAATATTATGCTAAAAACGAAGAATAACAAAGATATACAATATCAAATTTGTGAATCAGATAAGTCAATATATGTGATAAGATGACAAATCAAATTGTATTGTGATGGCGAGTTTCTTCGTCTTCGCCGCGTCTCCATCGATATCGTCGCTGCTATTTTTACAATGTTAACATATTTTTTTTCTTGCTGACAATTCTAAAATATAAGGTTTGATATTTAATTTTATATCGATAAAATCAGTGATTTGGTCGTCCACAACGCAGAAAATTCAGGTTGTATCGCGTATATTTTAGTAAGATTGACGTGAAGAATGATCAGCAATTGTCGCCTTTGACGTCACAGGGTCACGTGATCGGTATCTAATTAACTTAGATTTTTAATTCAGGGGTTTTCATTTGAGTTAATAATTGGTTAATTACTGCGGTTTATCCGCAGTAAAAACACAAAATTTATAAACTGTGGTCATAAGGAACGTTCTACACTTTTTATTTCAAATAATTTAGAAACATGCGATTAGTCCTTTAATCATGTTCAAGGCCTTTTCATGATGCTCTGTTCGGCTAATTCATGTGCATTTTATTATATGTTTAACACGATTTCGTGTCATTAAAGAGGAAGACTGTGCTAGTACACTAATTTAAGTATATTTAAAGCAATTCTGAAAGAAATAAAGAAAGGAATTTTTTTATGAGAGAGACAATTTCTTTATCAGGTCAATTTGAATGAACCAAGTCTTGTACGTGGCATTATGACTCAAGGAAGAAGTGGCTGTTGTCAACAGTGGGTGAAAAAATATAGAGTACTGTATAGTTTGGATTGTAGTAATAACACCAACAGTTGGCAGCCAATTGGAGACCACACTGTCAACGATACAGTCAGTATATTTCTAGAATAATATTTTTTTTTTCATAAAATGCCATGCTCAGATAATAAAACGCTCAGAATATCCTGTAAAACAACTTTTATTCGCGTCAACTTTTATTCGCGATTCGTCGCTTTGAAATCAATCCGCTACGATTAATTTTCGCCACTGAGGAAACATTTTCTACAAATACAAAGCAAAATAAATGGTCCGCGGCGATAACTATTCGCGAGTTTAAGTAGGTCGCGAAACTCGCGAATATTTCTCGAATAAAAGTTGGCTTACAATATCAAGTTTAATTCAAAAGTTGAAACTTCTGAATTTTATCTATGGTTTGTACCATCGATATTTTGTTAAATAAAAAAAAAAATAAAATTGCAAGATTTATGAAGAGATTTTTTGATTCTATACCTTAACTATGAAGATGGCATTCAAAATTTATTTTGTGCATTTGGCAGATGAAAAGGCGAAATGTAATAACAACGCAAAATGTAATAAACGGGGATTATTGAGTTATGAGTAATTACAATTTGCGTTGATATCTACGCAGAATATAATAACGCAAAATATACAACAAACTTTTTTAAGAATATTACATTTTTGCGTCGAGATCAACGCAGAATATAATAACGCAAAATGTAACGACAGACTTTTTTAGGATTATTACATTTTGCGTCGAGATCAACGCAAAATGCAACAAAGCGAAATGTAAGAACCCTCTTTTTGGTCAGTCGGGTTAAGAATAATTTCAATTGAGTAGTGGATGAAGAAAACGGAGAGAAAATAAAACACAAGGAAAAATTAATTTATGCTTTCATTAGCCATTTAAAATCAGTTTATATTCAAATTATAGGTGTTGCAAATTAGAAACGTGCTGTGTGTGTATCTGTGTTTGGGTGGGGGTGGGGTGGGGAGTTATTTCGTTGATCAGTGTATCAGTTTGCTTTTGCTTTTTGATAGGCACATGCATGAAATTCAGAAAGGAAATCTATTTATTTTTACTGGCAGGTGTAAATATTGCGGGAAAGGGGTTTCTTGGAAAGATTTCATACTGTTTTACAAAGCATGTGCATTGCAGACCAGCAAAAATAAAATTCTCTCTCTCTCCCGCTCTTCATTAATAAAATGGATAGTTTCTGCATGCGCATAAAAATTTGATGATCGACATACGATGTAACCCCCAGCCCCGATTCTCCTCGCCAGACAAACACATATGTACTTATAATTTGCGAACCAATGTACACATGCACCTCGTACATGCATATTAGAGAAATACCGACATCTTACGAACGAACGTAACCAAAAAAAGGGATCGTTCATTGTATTCACATTTGCATTATTTAATTCTTCAATGTTATTGCGATTTCAAAAGATAAAATCCCCGCAGGATACCTCAAAACTACTTCTTGTCGTAGTCGCCACCGTGACGCAACAATACATTTCACTGGACATTTAAACGAGCAAAGGTGTTCCGAAAAGGGAAATACACATGTAAAAGGAAAATGAAAAATGTCTCATTTTGAAGCATGTAGTCAGAGATTCTGTCTTACGAAAACGAAAAAGAGGGCGAAGGAGAGTTAAAAAAAAATAAACATAAAACAATGGCCTTTTTGTTCATGCTACTGGCTAAACTTTGGACATGTAAATCATATACGGTGCCAATTTTGATGCACCAGATGCGCATTTAAAGTTACATAGTGAGTCAATATCATGGGTTTCTTTTAAGTTTTCTTTTTCGTGTTGGGGCAAACTAAATTTAGTTTTACTTATATTTTTCTCCACTAAAGTAGATTTTTTAGGTTCTGAAACCTGTAATTTTCTTAAATCTAATACTTTCAAGAATTGAATTAAATCTGCATGTGTCTTGCAAAAATTTTTACTTCTGTCAGTTTTCCCGTTAGTCCGTCACAGTGTCTCTTTAAACAAATTATGTCTCTTAAGTAGATTCCTTATTTTACGCGAGTACTTAATATCGCAAAATGGCCGAAGGGCGTCAAATCGCGAGAACAATAAATCGCGAATGGGTGATTTATTTAGAGATTTTACATACAGTAAAGCACCATAAAATAAAAGCGAGTAATTTTATTTCGCGAATGGCGCTTCTCGCGTAATTACGCGATAATTTATTCCTCGCGTATATTTAGGAATCTACAGTAATGCTCATGCTGAATTGTTGGAAATCCGAAATATTTAATTTAAAAAAATCAAAGAGCTGAAAAAAGAGGGGGGGGGGGCAAAGACTGGAGTAAAATTACATCGAAGGATCGTATATATCTAAGAAGAAGCTTTTTTTCCCACGGATTCATGATATGGTTATAATACATGTACATGTATATTGAAGCCGGGTTTAATTTTATTTTGATAGTTTTCTTAGCCATTACAAGGAATTATCATCTCTGACAATATCTGTGTAGAAAATTAATCAATAGCCATTCCTGACGTGACATATATGAGAATGTTTTTGTAAATGAAACTCACACACACTCATTTTAAAATATTCAGTTTTTTACAAAGAAAAATGCAATGCAATTAAATCAGCTGAACAGAAATTGGCCTTAGTAACCCCTGTCCACATGAATGCTGCTTCGGTGAGTAATTTCCAGACACGTGGTATCAACCAAATTAGGTTAGACCATCTTTAAAAAATTGTTTCTTTGCCCTCACCGACTGGCTAAAAATGACCCGACTAAAAACTTGTTTAATCTGAGGAAACGATAATTTTCCCTCCTGAATTTTCTTTCTCCATCAATAAGAATGTTGACATTTTCTGGAAAAAAATTTATAACCTATCTACCGACCCAATTTTTATATGATAATGTATAAAGAAAATTTTTTACGAAAAAAGTTGGACCACTCCACATGAAAAAAGGATTTTCGAGTTTAAACCTCACCCCCTTTTTTTTCTCTGGCGCCCCAAACCCCTCCCACTTTTAAAAACGAAAATTATATGTTTCTAATTCGACTAATGAATAATAAATAAATCTGCAGCAATATAACTTTTACCAGAAAGAATATATGACTGTTTTAAAAAATGAAAAAAAAAATATCAGTAGAATCAGTGAAAACTCGTCTGTTCTGTTTATTTGCCTGTGTGTGCAGGTACATTTGAAGCATGCCTTGACAACTCAGTGAATCAGCGTCATGCACTTGATGTCTTCAAATTATTCACAATTAGAAAAACTACAGTATCTTTTTGTCAGTGTACTTGAATAAATCATGGATTTTTTTTTCTTAGAGGTGACGCAAGTTATAATTTTGACTATAGTTTTTTTTTCTGTACATTAGAGCTTCGGTCGAAATTACTCTGAGTGCGGGGTCAAAGTTACCCTTCACGTATACAGTGTATCTTGTAATGTTATATTCTGACGAATAATGCATGCTTAACAAACAATGATATAATGGTACATAGCTTGAGTACAAAGAAAACTTAATAAATATACACCACCTAGAGGGGCCTGTCCCCACCTTTTCCACACATTACTTTTTACTGTTGGAAATGTTCAGTGAAAGGCTCGTTGCCCCCCCCCCCCCTTTGTTGCATTACAGTCAAATAAGGCTAATGTAGTAATGTATGGGGAAAAAATGGTACCGAAAGAAGGTTTTTTTTATTATTATTTTGCTTGTCAGGTTTTTTCAGGTAAGTTGAATTTTTTTCTCTGGCTGCCCCCCCCCCAGCTTTAAACTTGTGAACCCTACTCAAATACATAATTTGCAGCTTTTATAATCCTCATATCTATACGGATATAACATATATCATGAAAGGCAGCCGAAAGATGAATTAAGTGAAGATTGCAACATAATACATCATCCAAGAAGATACTGTCTATCATATGAATGCTCGTTTATTTTTTTGAAGTGATATTTCACATAAAGAAAAACCTACCCTTCTTTCTTTATGAAGTTACTTTTTCTTTTACTAGATACGATATGGGAAAAAAAATATTGCATATGCATGCATTGCCCCATTCCACTTTTATAAGGATTGTAGTATATGGATCGTAGTATTCCATGCATTTAGTTAAATGTAATGAAAATGGACATTCAATTCGATTAGTTGAGCTTCGACCCCCTCTCCCTTCCCAAGTACACAAACATCTACGCGCGACCACTTTAAAAATATTACGTTTTCCGGAGAAGTGCCAACTATTTTCTGATTTTTAATGGTTGATTTCTGAAACGTTGGAAAACAATGTTACATTGTATAATTCATTACAACAATTATTGTCCATTGCATGTGCTCTCTCTCTCTCTCTCTTACAAGCACATAAATGTATACTTTCAAATACAAGACACTATATAATCGCATCACCTGGTAACTTGTTGCCTTTGCATGGATTTATACAGGGTGTGAGTTTAGATTTCATCCATGCTATAAAACGTAACTTTCCCCAAATGAACACAGCTCACACTAGTATATACGTATGACAAATGTGTTTCCTAACCCGTCATAGGTATTTTGGCGTATTTTCTTCTATTTGTCCGCTTTTAATTACATTGTAAGTGATTACAGAAAATTAGACAGAAGAAATTATCATTTACAAAGTCATTAACATACTGTCCGTTCTATTATACACATATACTTAATTTTTCTGATTTATTAATTTTAAACTGGGTGCAATAACTGGTCCCGGGAAAACTACCAAGATACGGGAAGTTAGGGCGAGTTACGTTCGTTCGTAAGATGTCGGTTTTTCTCTATTAAGAGCTTTTAAACTTTGGTAATTAAGAATATCAGTGATGGATATATAATGCAGACTGATTTATAAATGGACATGTCAATAAAAGTTAATATTGTATATGTATTCAATAAAAATGTTAGAAACAGAGTTAAAAAAATATATACAATTAGATTAGTAATGTCCATAAAAGTCGTAACATTTGTCTCATAGTCATGGTCCATTTTGTAAAAAGAGTTTCCCCATTGTTATTTATATGTTTAAATCAATTTTGTGATGTTTCGCGTTGAACTCATTACAAAAAAAATTATTATATTTTGTTTTATGACATTTTGT